ATCGAATTTGCAGGTTTGTCGTTTTGTTAAGATGAAAATTCGGCGCAGAAGTTGATGATACACTGTTCCAACACCATTTTTCAACACTTACAGGGATTGATGGCCATCTACAGCTAGAGAAATACAAATATCAGTTATCTTATCCTCGATGAACACGAACAATCATGCCTATTGCCCGAGTGGTGGTGCCAAAGTCAAATATTGTCGTCCCAAAAGCACATTCTGAGACGAACAAGCCACCTTGTTGCATTCTCCTCCAATCCCTCCGCCAGCACACAAAGTTCAAGACTGGAAGGCACCTCCTCAAACGCAGAATACGCGATTCAGACAGGTATGGCCGACATCGGATATTCTCTGCTTCACACCCGCATGCCATCGCCAGTAGGGAGCGTAAAAATGCACCATATAACACAATAGCAAACATTTATTGGTTTCACAATGCAAAAAGAAAGTAAAAACAGTCTGTGTATGCTAAAGTCAGTCAGCGCGTGAAAGTGAACCTACACAATCAGCGTACCACTGAAATATTCACTCGATGTCAACTCACTACTTTTTTACACTTTCAACAGAGATCATAAACGCTTTCATTTCTTCCTTTCGCCTTTTTAGGGCAATCATCGCCAGACTGAGGTAGTACTAGGGGAAGGGAGACAGAGGGTGGGGGATGGAGAGAGGACAGATGAGAAGAATACTAATAATGGCTCCACAATATTCACAAACAAACTAAAATTCACGCGGTTTGGAGCCACGAGATTGTGCGTAGTCGTCTTTGCCCTCCTCGTCGTCACTGACACTCCTGTTGCTACTGTTACTACTGCAGACCGCCCACGTAGCTTGGTATTTGCAGCGACCACTTTTCACCCTGGTGCTTTCGCGGGACCAAAGAGTAGTCGCCCGGGCAGTATCAAGGTTGTGTTTAAGGCACGAATAAGTGGAAAACGCTTCCGATTCCTGAACAGCGTCAACGGCCCCATCCTGATCAGCAACAGCAGCAGCAGCAACGGTGAGGACCGTCAGAGAGCTGTCCATTAGCGCTCTTCGGCTCACCAAGGGATATGCGGAAGCCGGGAGAACAAATTGTTGGCTGACTTGCGCGGAAGTGGCCATGTTTTGAAGTGGTGGAGCCTGACCATCTTCCCCTTCCATTGAGTTCGAACGGGTGAAATACCCCGAGCTATTGTGAGACTCATTGGAGTTAGGTCGAGTTGACTCCTCTTGAAATTCGAAGTCACGCAAGATGTCCCAGCTAAACTGTTGCTGCTGTTGCTGACGAAAAAACGGATGTCCAGCAGGCTGTGGATGTCGTGCATCATAGCGATGAAGAGGACCGGGGGTTGTAAGGTTGATATAAGCCGAGTTCCTACGAAATACAGAATTAGTACTGCTTCTATCCACATTGTTGGCGGGCGGTGAAGCTCCACGTCTCCTTAGGTAGCCGCT